CTATGGCATCTTGTACTGAAAGCTTTATGTAGTGAAAATGAGTGTAATAGGTAAACTCTGCCAATACTAATGGGAAATTAGTGTTTGATCTTTTAACAGTGAGGTTTTCAACATGAGCATTTGAAGAAAGGCTTTGATATTGACTGTGCATTTTAAACTGAAGCATGTCTGAACTGAAATGTTTCTTTCCAGAGCCATCTGTGCTTACGCGTTTCTGTTTTTCTTACTCTTTGCTCTGGCGTATACGTGGTCTTGCATAGTTCTTTAGGGAATTGCAAACTAGGAAGGCAAAGGAAGCCATACATCTTGTTTCCAGTCTTGTCTAATACTGCCTGTGAGGGCAAAGTAAAAAGATAAATGTGTTTATTTGATAGATTTTTAAATCTGAAAGTTTTTAAAACATTGATCAAAAGCAGCAATGAGACTGTGATGATGTTACTTACGTGTAATAATGAAAAGACACAGTTTTCATGGAATTATTTTGAAGTTCTTAACGTTAGGCCCCAGAAGTTCTAATTTAAAGTTACGTGATAGTTGCATGCTTGAAAGAGCTGTTTAATCCTATTTTGCCACCCTTCTTCCAACAAGTTATATTGGTTTGGACTTTTGCGACAAATGTAATCAGAATCTCTATAATGCAAAATCTTCTAGAAAATTGTTGTTGGGTCATAACATGTCTGCCCACCTCAAACTGATGGCTACTTGTACAAAACCGTCTTTTCTTTAATGGTCATTTTTTAAAAATGTCTTCTGTTATCAGCATGGATTACATTTTGTGAGCTGTCATTTTTTATCTTGCTCTCTTAACTTCATAAAATCCTCCCCACCAAACGTAGGTGCCAGCCAACACTGGGAACCAAGGTTGACGAGGAATTGAGTGACAAGTTCCTACCTGTAAAAAAGACACTCATTTTGATTTTTGCTAGTCATAGTTCAGTACTAGTTTTGTGGCTTCTGAGTACTGTTTTTCGGGCGATAAGTCAAAAGTAGAAATGATCAGCTCTGCTTTCCCATTTTACTGGGAAAACTCAGAACCAGAAAAGTCAAACAGCCAACCCAGGCCTCACACAGAAGCGTGAGCACCACCAGTCCCAGGACCCAGGTCCATGCTCTCTACAGTGGCACAGCCGATCCCAGTTCTGTCCCCATTTGAAGTAGCACAGAAGTACCATCGAGTGTGCTTTTCGTAATAGTTTTCTCTTCAGCACATCATCCAAAACATGCTAGCTAAAACTTAATTGCCCTTTAGAATGATTTTTGACAGGTCTCCTTCATTCTCTTAGCAGTATTAATTTTATTAACTAGTTTTATTAAAAGCTTACCATTTTAGGTAGAAAGATGTTCTCTTTTAGAATCTGGATTCCTCCTGCAACAATCTCTTGTTAGCTCTCAGGAGGAGATAACAAATCAAGCCCTGAGAATTTAAATTGAGTCAGTCTCATATATTAGTTTATCTAAAGCATCAATTGAGCTGATTAATATTTTTATCCAAAAATATTTTGTAATGCCCAACGTTGAGACTCTAGCATACTTGAGATAATCATTTGCAGACAACAGCAGACAGTAGAATGGGATGCAGTACTTTGCAAACACCGCAGTATTTGTGGTTTCTTATTACAGCGCCCCAGGTATGATAATTCAGTTTTGATTGATTCGTTTATTTATTAAATGAACATGATTGAGTGCCAGCTGCTCCGTGCCCTTATTGAGCGCCTGTCTAGTGAGGCTGTCAGACAATAAACAAGCAAGCAAATAAAATGATTAGGAGGTGATAAATAGTGGGACAGAAGTAAGCAAGGTGATATGATAAACAGTAACTGAGGATGGCCCACTTTGCACGGGGGTCCTTAGGAAAAGGCCTCTCTTAAGAGGGGACACGTGAACAGATCCCTGAGGGTAAGAATGGGCCAGGCATGCAGGGAGCTAGGGAAAGAGCATTCCAGGCAGCGGAACCTGCAAGTGTAAAAACCCCGAGAGGAGAAAGGGTCAGAGCTCCCCCTGAGAATATAACTGTCTTCCCACCTACTACTCACAGGAGCACTGTGGTGATGTAAATACACGTAAATACAAAGTGACTTAATCTGAGTTAGATATGTATAATAGGCAGTGAAGGAGAAATTGAGGTATTGTTCTCTTTTTTTTAAAAGAAAAGTATTGGAGAACACAAAAGAAAACATTTGGAGATCTGCATCTTGCCTTCTGTAATCAAACCCTGCATTGTTTGTGTGATACCAGTTGTCAAGTCCGTGTGCGGGGCGGGGGCGGGGGGGAATGTTCACAAGATCTTGGCTGGAGTTGAGACTTGACTTGGGCCTTGAAGCACGGATAAATTTGGGTCTGCCAAAGGAGATAGAAGAGGGTGTTTCAAGATGAGAGAGAACTGTGTAAATAAGATTGTAAGATGGACTGAGCTTGAATGACTGCTTGAGGCCATGAAGATTCAAAACCTGGAGCCAGAAAAGTCTTTGAGGGAACAGACACAGAGAAGGGGCGATGGAGAGAGAGAGAGAGAGAGAGAACCTGACTAAACCATTGGATAAAAGCCAGGCTCTTGGAGAAATACCATTATTATTATCACCATAAAAACTACCTAACCTTTAACCTTTCGTGTGATTACTATGTGTCCTAAGGTCTTTAAATATAACAACTTATTTATTTATTTCTAAAAAGTAAGTGCTGTTGGTATCTCTCTTTTATAGATGAGGAAGCTTAGGACAGAGAGATTAGCAACTTGCCCAAGACTGCCCAATTTTAAGAAGTGGAGGTTGAGATTCCAGCACAGGCGTTGTGCTTCAAAGCCAAAACTCCCAGACCATATGGTTACATCCAAGATGGTGTTTTAATTGCATGGTTTTACTTCTATCTTGAAAAGGATTTAATTAACAGTTTAAAAGTTGGGTAGAAACCAGAAAGTCAACAGATGGCTAGGCAGGGATTGGATAAATCCTTACAGCAGGAGACAACGTGGAATTCTCTAGGGTAAGGCAGAGATAGGGAAGGAAGAATACACCCTTTGCTCTATTTTTTCTTCCTCTTCTCTTTCCATAAACAGTTACTGATACAGGCAGTTGTCCCCTTTGGCGAGAGTTACAGTAATTTGTGGGGGAAATTAGAGTACAGTAATTTGTGGGGGAGAGTTACAGTAATTTGTGGGGGAAACACCTCTTTTTTTTAGCACTTTCTATATTCTAGAAATGTATATCTTTTCTTGTATACAAGGAATATCTATCTAAGTTGGTTTTCAACCAAAGTTTTATATTGAAACTCATTTCTGTCTTAATTTCCATTACCAAATGGGAGTTAGATTCCAAAAGATCAATGGTTTGCATAAACTGGCTAAATAAAGAAAAAAAATTTTTTTAAAAAGTTAAGATTCCCAAAGAGTAGGGTTTGAGAGGTCGCCTCATCATTGAGATTACAGGATTGCCTTCCATCTGGGCACACAGGTACCTGGACTTCTGGGGGGGTGGGGCAGGGGTGTGCTCAGGTTTTAGAGCAGGAGTTACACGCTGGAGACTTCCCTCTGGAGAAGCCCCATGTGGCTTCTTGGACAGTTGCTTGGATGATGCTTCCCCAGTGGCTGAGTGAGAACGTAGCTCCCACTCTGTCCCCATGCTCTGCGGGTCCTCTCCAACCTCTCTCCTTCTCCCTTGTTCAAGGAGGAAGCAGAAGCAAACCGTGTGCCCAGCCCACCATGCCCAGCCACGTGGCTTCGAGGAGAAGGGGCCAGGCCCCTGCTTGGCACCACTCTGTTGCAGGGAAAGCTATCCTTCCTTCAGTCAACAAGTTAGGGCTTTTCTTTGGCCCCAAGGCAGGATGGATGCTGTCTAATGGGTCTTCCTGAAGCGCAGTTCTGCTCAGTAGCATTGGCTGCTCAAAAACTGTCATCAGCTTTCCATTTCAGAGAGTGAAAGTTTTACGCTGCATGTAGGACCCTCCGTGGTTGGGCTGAGCTCTACATCCCTCCTTTGCCAGCGTCCCCTGTTTTGTCAGGCAGGCTGCCCTTTTCCCTGTTTTTTGCGGGCCCCCCACCTCCTTCTGTGCTGATACCGTTTCTCAAGGACTCCCCTTCAGTTCCCACTCCTCACTCCAGCCTCTCATATTTTTAGCCGCAGTTAAATGCTGCATGCGGTCCCCATCGAATTGCCGTCTCCACCGACAGCCTTACGGAACTTAACCTGAATACCTGTAGGATCTCATCTCCAGCTCTCATTTATCTGTGTTCTAGATGTTTGTGTGCCTGTGCTGTCCTCCCTACTAATCTCTGTACCTAGTTTAACTTTGTACTTTCCTTATCACCTGCCCTTTAACGACCAAGAAAGTTAAAGCAGCAGGGCGCCGAGAAGACATGCGGATTCCCTGTGATGCGTCTTTTGGAGCGTCTCCTTTCTCTGTGCCCTGGTAGATGACCGTGTTGAAGGTGGGATAGGACCAGATCTGATTCTCTGTTGAGGATTTGCCCTCCAGCAGCAGTGGTTCTCCCCCTGACTGCACGTTGAAATCACCAGTGATGCTTTGAGATGCCTGATCCAGGAACTCCAGACCACAGAAATCAGAATCACAGGAGTGGGGCTTGCATGTCAGTAGCATTAAAATCTCTCCACATGATTTTTATCTGCAACCAGGGTTAGAAATAAATACCCCACAGTATGGTGGTCCCTACGCTATCCTGCATGCCTAGGTAATTCTATTAATTTGAGAAACCTCTCTTTTTTAGAGAAATAAAATTTTAAGGTAGAAAGGTGCTAACTTGGGGACGGGGAGACACCTCTTATCAACAAGGGTGCCTGAACGGAGCATATTTGTATACCTAACCCTTAACTGTACCCCATAGTATCATTTTTTAAAAATTGATTAAAATAAAATAAAATTTAAAAAAGAATAAACTTGGGTAATCCATTGTTTAACAACAAAAAAAAAGAAAAGTGCTAACTATGAAAGAGTATAGTATATTTTGTTTTGCTTGCAACAGTAGCTTACTTAACTGTTTAACTTTTCAGATATTTCGAAAGAAAGCAGTGGAACTCGGGATAAAATTGCTACCTGCATTTCATACTCCCTCTGGAATACCTTGGGCATTGCTGAATATGAAAAGGTAAAATTCTTCATTTTCAACAACATATTTTAAGGTGAAATATTCTAGATCGTCACTTTAAAAGTATGCACTAGACGCATGGTTACTTGTATGATGCTGGTGACTAGTGGACTCCATTGGAAGCCTCGAGACTTGCTTTTGTGTTGGAAGCTGGTGGTTTTTCAGTGTGCTGTAGTCCCCATCATGGGATAGCATGACCCCAAAGAGTCATTCAAGCCTGGCGTGATTTGAGGTTTTCCCTATTTTGTGGTGACATGCGTCAGTGATACTGTCTCGCTCCATAAATGCCAAGAGCATCCCATTGTCTTTTAAGTTGTCTCAGTGTTTCACTTCCACTTCGTAAGTGAAGAGCCCTTGCTTCAGTGAGGCTGCTGCTCAGAGAGATCGCAGCGGCAGCAGCACTGGGGCGGATCGGAACCCAGCCCCCATGCCGAAGCTGGCATCACTGAGACCAGGAGCGCCTGAGACTGCCCAACCCGCAGCTGTAAGGAGAGAGGGCAACTGATCCACTGACCCGGATCAGCCCAACCTTCTCATCCTCTTGGTCGAAGAGCCGGGTATGTCAAGTCCTTGAACGTGGCCCTGATGGAAAAACCAGGCCAGATGGACTTTCTGTGTTCTCCCAGGGAAGCGTTGGATAGTTCGTGACAGCTTAAACATTTCGTTAATGCTAAATAAACGCATCTTGAGATTCCTTGCAGCTCCTTCCTCCCTATAAATTACTAATTGCACGTGTGTCTTTTTGTGGCGATGAGGATGACGGTTATTATTATCGCCATAAAATGCGATGAGCACTTTACTCCGATTACTGTGTATAATCCTCATAAGAACCCAGAGAGATGAACACTGTTGTTATCTCACTTCACTAATAAAAAACTCTAGTCACAAAGAGATTAAGGAATTCGTCATTTATACAGTAAATAACTGATAGGGCTAGAATATGTGTGTGGATGTTTATAGACACGTTCGTGCATATGCACAAGGGAAGCAGCTTTCTCATTTTAGAAACACCAAGAGGATGTACAGGGTGATTTGGCAGGGTTAGTGCACATTGTGTCCTAATTACCTCGTCTAGTAACATTCTGTCCTCAAATTACGGATTATTTTCTTTCTCCTTTAATAAATAAATTTGTGAAATGCCATGCATTGTTTTCATCTGTATGTTATATACCTATGCCTTGAAGTCATCTTGTCCGTGGGAGTGTGTGTTTGCAGAGTGCGGCAGGGTGGCAGTATTGAGTTAGTGGAATGGGAGAGTCCACACCTGGGCTGTGTTAAATTGAGGAAGTACTCTACTGTAGCATGTGAGGTCTCAGGATCTGTTTTTACCGTTAGGGGTCCTAAGGCTTTCTCTGTCAGCTTGAAGATAATAGCATGTGCCGTACGGTCAATCATGAGGCAGGGGTGGGTCTAAGCCTGTCTTGGAAGCAGCTTAGTGTTTGTTTAGAGCCCCATGAGTTTTTATTTGGCTCATGTAGACAGACCTTCTATATTACTTTCCATGTCTTCAGACTTTGTACTTACAGATAGCATTCAACCAACATTCCACTCTCTTACCTAAAATAAGATCTGATCACAGAAACACTGTGCACAATTAACTGATTTTTTTTTTCCTGCTGCACTCTGAAAACATTGATAATGGGCGCAGTAATACACTAAACTGGTTATCAAAATCCTGGTTCTAGGTCTTTACAGCTACTGAAAGTCTGTCTTTGCAGCAATAATTTAAATTCTCTAGGCAGATTTGTAACCTGGGGATAGCTATTTTGTGAACCTTTTTGAGCTTAGGGACCACTTTGAGATTCTGATGAAACGTGTCCTTCTCCTTATAAGATGTGTAATTCTGCGTTCATGGATTTTTACAGTTTTCAAAAGCTAACAATGCAGTGGAAGCCACCCTAGGACGCATGAACCTCAGGGTTAAAGTCCTGGAGCAGGTGGTTGTGCCAGCCCTCTAAGATTTTATGACGCTAGTTCTTATTGCTTCCTGAAGGTAATGAAATGGGTTAAAGTTCGACTAAGACTCAGAGAGAGGGGTGTGGGCTCCATCTTTGCAAAATAAGAAATTGATTATTTTGAAGTATATTTAACTTAGTGTTTATTTTGAAGAGCCAAGTGGATTTTTCCTTAGTTAAATCTATCTTTAGTGTACTGTAGAGGTACTTTTCAGTACAAAAAGGAATACTTGACCATTAAATTACTAAATCCTCTACTGTCTTCCATCCTATGCCCATCACAAATTTACTAACTAGGGCATTCAGATGTTTTATAAAACCTTACATTCCACAGTATTTCACATTAGGACTTATTGTCTAATTTCAGAGATTATAGAAAAATTTTATATGGTAGAAAATGTATCATTTTTGTTTATGTATTTGCTAAGGTTTTCAACTAAAGGAAATTAGGTAAGCATTTGGCAGCTGATAGGAACACTTTAAATTTCATGTTGGCAGCTTGCATGAATTTTTTTTTAATGACGTATTTTATCCACTCTCAGTCCAATCTACTAAATAGCAGTGACTTACCCAAAATTCCTCCTGTCCCCTTGCGCAATCAAGTGCACTCACTGAACCTACTTTTCTTCCAGCTGCAAGGCTGATTTATCACCTTAAAGTTTTCCTGTAGGAGAAGAAATAACATTTCATATTTATCTGCAATCTTACTTTTCAGGATGTGCTGTTGATGTCACCTGTACATATATGCCATTCCCTGTGAATCTCTGTCTTTTTGCAGTATGGGCCAAGGGATAAGAGACGGCTGGCCTGAAGCTGCTTTTCTAGTTTAGGAAGGCTGTCACCGGCAGAATTTTCCAAGGAGGGGGGTGGAAATAGATCTGGCAAAATCATATTTTCTTAATTATCTTCTCCGAATAAGAGAATGTAGAGGGATGCCCAAGAGAGAAAAAAAAAGTGCTTCCAGATACTTCTTAAAATAGCTGACTTTGAAACTCTAGGTAAGAATTCAGATCGGCGAGGTACTGGATACGCTGGTTGTAATTTCATCTTTCTGCTCTTCCTCTCAATTTTGAAAATAGTTACAAATGTGCTCTTTGACAGCATCTATATATGAACAACAATGCATACTTACTGGTATTATCTGTTCACGCTTCTCTAGTATTCAGGTTGCTGCCTAAGGATGATTGGTTTCTTTACCTTTTTTTGGTCCAAAAGAAGCGTTTCTTTGTGTCCCTGCTATGATAAAGATTTCATGCTAAGTCTTGGGAAGATTTTTCTACTTCTCTTCACTTTATTCAGGAAGATAACAGATGTGTTCTGTCCCTTGGGGATTCGGAGCCTGATTGGCAAAACAGAATGTATATTTTATATGTTATGTTATACACTTATGTATGCAATAGACAAATGTAAGATAGTCTGTGCCAAGGAGAGATAATAAGAACTCACCAGGTTGAATTTAAAGCAAGCAGTATTTTGAATTGAGGAGGTTTTATGTATTTGAAAACAAAACATCAATAAGCCAAATTTCAGTATTTGTGCAAACTGAAAACATGCAGAGAACCTTCTCATATGCTGCATTAGGAACTCTATCCCAGAATCTGTTCAGGAAAAAAAAAAAATGTTTTTAGTTGTTTTTTTCTGCCACATCTATTAGCCATTCTTAATTCAAGAGCTGCCATATTAAATTGTAAGTTAATTGGAATTGTGGTTTAATAGCAAGTAGTTGCTTGCTATTAACTATTGATAACCAAGGTGTTACACACTGTCTGACTAGACTAACATGCTTGCTTCACCGATACGATCATAGAATGAGGAAGCACCTGTGCTAAAAGAAAACCCTTGCCTTTGCAACACCTTAGATTTCGGTAGAATTCAATTTCTCTAATGTGAAAATGTCAAAGTTTTATATGTAATCTTGTTATTACTATTAGCAGGAGGCCCTATACATTTGTCTCCCTGCCCTGAAGCAGAAAAATCACCTCGATGTTTTGTAAAATCAAGCATTTCTCCATTTCTGTATTTCCAGGTATCACTCTAGATTTATTAGATTTGGGGCCTTTTTTTTTTTTAAAGTATGTTCTTAATTTAAAATAATGTAGTTAATGTTCCCATTATTCGTTTCTATCACCGGGCATGCAGTCTGGGCATCCCTAATAATTATTCTGTCTGTCTTGATAAATGAGTTAGTCTTAGCTGTATAGTATTTTATCACCTCTCTCTGTGGATGTTTCCGACACTTGCCTGGTGGTTTTATTAGGTTGGCAGAATTGTGACAGTGTGAGTTTGTTGTGTTGCACACTATCGAGGCACGGGCCAGGAAGTGACTGATCTCCGTTCACACTCTCATTAGCCAGCAAGGTCATGAATGAGCACGGCCCTCTCGCCTGTTTTTATTTCCTGCTTCGTAGAGCGTTATTTACTGACTGTTCTGATTATCTGATGAAAGTAATACGATGGCATTCGTTGCATTGCAGTTTATATTATTATAATTCAATTGCAAATTACTTTGCTTTGACTGAAATAGGGCTTTAATTAAGAATAGCACATACTTGATGTGTTCTAATAGTGAAAGATGATCCTGTGTGAAACATGTAATATGTATATTTTAAGAAAAGATGATGGCCCCTTTTTGGGTTTCTTAAAACTTTGATGGTGTGAAGTCCTTAAATATTACATTATAATTGGTTTATTTTAATAGACACAAACTATGAAAGACAGTTCAATGGGTTAAATATTTTTAAAATATTTTCTTATATCGCCCTATGTTTTTGCTTGTTATTTGAAATATAAATTTCTGCAGGATTAAATTCACTGTTTTTCAGAGTTTTGGGTTTCAGATTTGAAAGAAGTGCATTACATTTTCAAATGAAACAAAGCACAGTTCTGTACTTTTATATCATAAGAATAATTTTTAAAGTATCAATAAGCAAATGTTCTGAACATAACAGGTCAAACGGATTTAATTCTTTTCTAGCATTCTAAGAGGCAAAAATACTGCTTAATTATCCTAAAAATGTTCAATAGCAGTGATGTAAGCCTGAATATAGAATCAAAGCATCATCTTATAGTTTATGTTTTTTTATATACTTTATGGCTCTGTTATGAATTAAAAAGCAAGTTTACCAACTCTAGAGAAGTAAAAAAGAAGTTACAGTCTTTCCAAATGTTTTAAGTTAACCTTCTTAATGGATTATTTTTTTCTTCCTTATTGGATTTTTTATATTGGTTTTTCTTTTTTGTGTATTTTAATTCATTTGGCCATTTGCACTCTTCTGGAAATAGGGTCAACAGTATTTTAAGATTTACTAGTAACATGTACAGTTATTAATATCAGACATTGGAATATAATTACCATAGTTAAAGCTGCTCTTTATTAACATTGTCAGCCTATTTCTTGTGTTCTACTAAGTTAAACCAAAATAACAGCAGTAGTAATTTCTACCCTAGTGACCTCATAAGGCTTTTGTAGAAATCTAATTAACTAATATGTAAGAAAAGGTTAAATTTGCAAAGTTTTGTGAAATCAACATATATTGGAATTATTCTTAATTTATGGTCCTGTTGTCAATTTCATTATGAAAGAGTATATATAAACATGGTGTATGATAAAATAGCATATAGCTAGAACTAACTAACTTGGTTCTGATATGCTTTTATGACAGTCTTCAATTTATAAGCCATGAGTTTTCCTAACCTGCTCAAGCTTTTAAGTCCCATTTTCCCATGGCAGGAGTGGAGATGGTATTGGTAGAACCAACAAGAAATGTGGGGAAGATGTCTTCATTTGGCTCATGTAGGGTGGTGGTAGCTGCCTCCTCAAGCTTTTGTTAATTTTTAAATGATTACTTTGGATCAGCCTATAGGCTCAAAACTGACTGTAGCCCCTAAAATGATTTCTACTGGTGAATCTGCTATTCCTGAC